CGCTTAGTAAGCTAAATGAAAACGTGGACAAGACCTAAAAGCAGTTAGTATAGAAAAACATGTCATGACCAAAGTGAGAATCATTAAATTATAAAAATGAATCAAATTCCTGGAACTGAAAGTATACCATAACTGAAATAAAAAAACAATACTAGAGGTGTTCACAGCAGATTTGAATAGGCAGAAGCAAAGGATGAGTGAACCTGAAAGTAAGACAAAGTGACATTACCCATTCTGAAGGTAGAAAGAAAAAGAAGGAAGGGAACAACGCTGTGATGTTTGGAAGAGTACAATCATTAGGGTCCCAGAAGGAAAGGGGCAGAAAAAAAATAAATTTGAAGAATAAAACTCCCAAGCCGATGAAGACGTGAATATACATTCTTGAAGTTCAACTGAACTCATCCTAGTGTGCATGTGTGCACACTGGAGAAACATTACAGTCCCAGATTATTGGGGCCCGAGACAGTAGAGAGAATTCTGATCTTTCATAAGATCAAATAGCTGATTTCTCATGAGAAACTTGAAGGTCAAAACACTGCATGAACTGACATAACTTAAGATCTTAAAAACAAAAACTGTTAACAATAATTCTACATTCTCGTAAAACTTCTTTTAAGAATGGAGGACAGTTACAAAATCCAGCAAAAACAAACAGGAAGAGCTCATTCCAAAAAGCCTGTCCCACAGAAATGCTAAAGTAAATCCTTTAGGTCTGAATGAACGGACTCTAGGCCACATTAACCCAAGCCATGAAAATAAACAAACACCAAAAAAGGTAAATCTAAACTACATGGGTAAAGATTTTTTAAAAGCCACTATTACTGTACTTTTGTTTGTAACTCCTTTGTTCATTTGTGATTTAAAAGGCAAATATAACAATTTAAAAGGTCTGTGTTAATGGGTACACAGTGTAATAAATATGCAACTGTAACAGTGACATATAAAGGAAAATGATGGAGATTAAAGAACAGAGACTTATACTGCCATTCACGCAACCATATTAATTTTGCATAGGGTCACTTCTAAATTTAAGATGTTAAATAGCAACCAATAAAAATAACATCAAATAAACACTAAATGCAGAACAGATAGAGGGAGGAAATAAAAGTGGTACACTAAAATTTTTTAACTCCAGTAATGGAGGAATTAAGGAACATAGAAACAGAAAGATATATGAAAAACAGCAAAACTTGCAAAAGCTCTTTAATTCTGCTAAATATGAATGGATTACATTTTTTCTTCTTTAATGGGCAAGGAATTGACAGTATTGGATTCAGCAAATACAGACTCCTTTGGTTGAATGTGTCCCCTAACAGTTATAGTGTTTACAAACTTAATCCTCAAGCACCAGTGCTTAATAAAAGGAACTTTATAGAGGTGGATTAAGGTTATGATGGCTCTGTCCTCAATGAGTAGATTCTACTGTTTACTGTAATAGCAGAATTATTTATCATGGATTAGGTGGTTGCTTCCAGGGAAACTTATACCTGAGTTCAAGGCTAGAAGAACTAGAAACGTGGAACCGACTCCTTCCAGGCAAAAAGGGGTGGAGTTCCTATTGAGATGATCATGGAATCATGAATGCCTTTATTTAGAGCAACCTGAGTAGATTTGGAACTTAGGAATATACCTTAAGCCAATGGGATCACTTCAGTTTTTATCATCTGATCACTCACCCACCACTTTTTTAATACCTGCTTTGTATCTCATTCATTAGTTATAAATTCGCTAATTTATACACTAGCTTTGAATTAGATATTATTCACAATTATTTTAATAGATAAGGAAACACAGGGTAGGAAAGGTTAACTAGAAGAAGAATGGACACATGGCAAGAGAGAAGAGCTTGATAACCCAAATAATCCCATTGGGTGGTACTAAAGGACGTTAAAGAGAAGAGAGGTGAATGAAATTTATTGATTCTAGGTCTTAATTTTCATGCTTTTATGTTGTGAACATTTTACTGAATTTAGGTTTGATTCTAAAATTTAAGACATACGCATAATTTTTTTTTATGAGAGTAGCTTTTATACTACTCTATTATATTTCTTTGATGACTAAAAGAAACTTTGGTTTATTCTTAACCTAAAGGGAAAAAAAAAAATCGTTGTGTTAGATCTCCCTTGAGGAAAATACAGTCCTCTCAGTGCTATGACACCTTTTTTTCACGTAGAGTTCGTTTACCTTACAGAAGTTTATTCCTATCCTCTTGAACTTTTATAGGATATTAAACCATTTTATTCTTCCCCATTCCATTCCTTTCTCTGAATAAATTTTCTTAAGGAAATATTTTGAAAATATTTCTTTAGAATTTGTGGAATGTTTTAGGGTTTTTTTGGTATTTAATGTTTTTTCTTTAATTATATTTGCATACAAGTTTGGGTCATTCTCCCCCTTCCCCCGCCACTCCTTAACACCCAACTCCTCTCTTCCCCGCCTACCCTCGCTACTGGGCAGCACCCTATTTTGCCTTATCTCTAATTTTGTTGAAGAGAGAGTATCAAGCAATAATAGGAAGGAACAAGGGTTTTTGCTAGGTTGAGATAAGGATAGCTATAGGGAGTTGACTCATTGATTCCTGTGCGTGTTGGTTACCTTCTAGGTTAATTCTTCTTGATCTAACTTTCTCTAGTTCCTGGTCCCTTCCTATTGGCCTCAGTTGCTTTTAAGTATCTGCTTTAGTTTTCTTGATGAAGGGCAACAAATGCTATCTAGTTTTTTGGTGTCTTACCTATCCTCACCTCCCTTGTGTGCTCTCGCTTTTATCATGTGATCAAAGTCCAATCCCCTTGTTGTGTTTGCCCTTGATCTAATGTCCCATATGAGGGAGAACATACGATTTTTGGTCTTTTGGGCCAGGCTAACCTCACTCAGAATGATGTTCTCCAATTCCATCCATTTACCAGCAATGATAACATTTCGTTCTTCTTCATGGCTGCATAAAATTCCATTGTGTATAGATACCACATTTTCTTAATCCATTCGTCAGTGTGGGGCATCTTGGCTGTTTCCATAACTTGGCTATTGTGAATAGTGCGCAATAAACATGGGTGTCAGGTGCCTCTGGAGTAACCTGTGTCACAGTCTTTTGGGTATATCCCCAAGAGTGGTATTGCTGGATCAATGGTAGATCAATGTTTAGCTTTTTAAGTAGCCTCCAAATTTTTTTCCCACCACAGTGTAAGAGGGTTCCTTTTTCCCCATCCTCCCACACCTGTTGTTGGTGTGTTGCTATGATGGCTATTCTAACAGGGGTGAGGTGGAATCTTAGTGTGGTTTTAATTTGCATTTCCTTTATTGCTAGAGATGGTGAGCATTTTTTCATGTGTTTTTGGCCATTTGAATTTCTTCTTTTGAGAAAGTTCTGTTTAGTTCACTTGCCCATTTCTTTATTGGTTCATTAGTTTTGGGAGAATTTAGTTTTTTAAGTTCCCTATATATTCTGGTTATCAGTCCTTTGTCTGATGTGTAGCTGGCAAATATTTTCTCCCACTCTGTGGGTGTTCTCTTCAGTTTAGAGACCATTTCTTTGTGAACAGAAGCTTTTTAGTTTTATGAATCCCATTTATCTATGCTATCTCTTAGTTGCTGTGCTGCTGGGGTTTCCAGAGAAAGTTCTTACCTATACCTACTTCCAGAGTATTTCCTACTCTTTCCTGTATCAACTTTAGAGTTTGGGTCTGATATTAAGATCCTTGATCCATTTTGAGTTAATATTGGTATAGGGTGATATACATGGATCTAGTTTCAGTTTTTTGCAGACTGCTAACCAGTTTTCCCAGCAGTTTTTGTTGAAGAGGCTGCTATTTCTCCATCATACTTTTTTGGAGCCTTTGTCAAAGACAAGTTGGTTATAGTTGTGTGGCTTCATATCTGGGTCCTCTATTCTGTTCCACTGGTCTTCATGTCTGTTTTTGTGCCAGTACCATGCTGTTTTTATTGTTATTGCTTTGTAATATAGTTTGAAGTCAGGTATTGTGATACCTCCAGCATTGTTCTTTTGACTGAGTATTGCCTTGGCTATTCGTGGCCTCTTGTGTTTCCATATAAATTTAATGGTAGATTTTTCAATCTCTTTAATGAATGTCATTGGAATTTTGATGGGAATTGCATTAAATATGTAGGTTACTTTTGGGAGTATAGACATTTTTACTATGTTGATTCTACCAATCCATGAGCATGGGAGATCTCTCCACTTTCTATATCTTCCTCAATCTCTTTCTTCAGAAGTGTATAGTTTTCCTTGTAGAGGTCTTTCACATCTTTTGTTAGGTTTACA